TCCGAAATGAATTGAATTATTATCCGAAATTAATTGAATTCATTAGATTGTTATCCGAAATGAATTGAAATTATTAGATTATTATCCGAAATGAATTGAATTCATTAGAAAAGGAAACAATTCTGTTAAAGTTAGTCATAATTATGGAATAATTTGAAAATTAAATAATTATCTAAAAAGATGAAAAAGGCGAACATTTTTGCAAGGTTCATTTCAAGATTAACAATTTGTTGACGTTTTCTCGTTGCTTTTTCGTCTTGTTCCGTACATTTTATTTCAGATAAGCATGTTTCCTGAAAAAATTCTTTTTCTATCATTCCTATTTTAAAACTTAATTTTATCCCTATTTCCATGTAAAAATTCATATTTTAGTATTTATTAATGAAGAATTTTGGCTTTATAAAGCATACTTTATTTCATTTAATTAAAATATGCAAATTTAAACTAAAGAAATAGACGTGGATAAAGGAAATGGGAAATATGTATTGGAAATTAAAAATTATATATATGTATATATTGGTATATATTGATACTAGTATTTTAATGAAAATAAATTCATTATGCACGTACTAAAAGTTTGTTACGATCCTCTTCTTTTAATTCCCGAAATCCAAACCGCGGAATGTCAGCAAATAAATCCTTTGGGACATTTCTCAATACATCCATTTGAGGTACTTCCGATACAGGTGGATAATGATTAATATCCTATAAATCAATTAAAAAAAAAAAAAAGGAAACAAAAAACTTGGAACATTTTCAAGAGTTTGATTTAAAAATTAAATAGAAACAATTGTTTAATTCATCGAAACATTTAAAACAAAAATATTTGTTTCAAAAGTTTGAATTTTTTTGAAACAAATTAAAATTTCATTTCTCTTAAATTTCCTAAATTTCTACTTCATTTTTTCTCTCATTGCATGTTTTGAAATAAAAATAACACTGTTAAAAATTTTTATTTCAATAATTATTTATAAATTAATATAAATATTTTATTCCATTATTCATTGTTTCGTAATCTTACCTTTTGCATAGGTATATTAACTGTTTGAACTTTGACCCATTCTTCTTTCCTAAATTACTTAAACAATTTGCATCATTTGTTAATGAAAATTTTAAAAGAAATAATAATACTTATGCATTATTATTTAATATTAAGCTATTTCAAAAATTTGATAATATTATTAAATTTAACCTGCATTTACTGTATGCCGGATACCTATAACAAAACATCTGTATTCGTTCAAATACCTGCGGCGGTATATGATCAAATGGAGTAAAGGCGAATTGTTCCATTAGAAAAGGAATATCATCAATATCCATGAATGATAATGATAGTAAAGAAGATTCCGGAATTGATGGTAATGATGGTAATGGTGGTAATGGTGGTAATGGTGGTAATGATGGTAATGGCGGTGATGGTGGTAATAACGGTAATGGTGGTAATAATGGTAGATGCGGTGGAAGTGGTACATCTACCACTGGTGACATTATTAAAAATACCTCATCATGTGATTCATGACTACTGCTATCTGAGTTTAGAAAAGATGAATGTGAAAATGATGATGAAGATAATGATGATGATGATGATGTTGATGATGATTGTTGAAATGATGGAGGACTTCTTATCATTCGTTGCTTACAATTTATTTCTTGAAAAATTTCGATAAAAATAATTAAGATAATTACCATACTTGTTATCCTTATCAATAATCTTAAAAATAAACTTTTACAAATGAAAAAAATGATAATGAAATAGCAAATATAATGTTTCGTTAAAATAAAATAATCAGTGATATAATTAGTAATCAGTAATGTTTAATTAATCAGTGATATAATTAGTAATCAGCAATGTTTAATTAATCAATGATATAATTAAGTGTTAGGAATGATAAGGGAAACAACGAGCAAATAGAGTAATAATATTTCGATGGATCCTTTTGGTGTGTGTTTAAATATTGCAAAATGCTAAAATTGAGTAATTTTGATATGAAAAGGTGAAAACAAAAAACAGGTTTTCCAAATAAATAGGCTATCGTTCAAATGAAAAAAAAAAAAAAAAATGTGATGATTTGTTTTATTTGAGCCTAATGAATCATTTTATTCTTGGCTTAATATATTTCATAAGAGCTATAAGTTTAGAGCTAAAAATTACAATCGCTAAGATTACATTTACTGATAATGTTAATTAGTATATAAGTATACAATTACATGTATTATATAATGTTATACAATTTCTTTTTTGTTTTTTTTTTTCACAGACTAATATTAATTAATTGTAAATATATTTGAGTAAGTAATAAGCCTAATTAACTTTATAATTAACCTTGTATCTCATATTAACCGTACCAATTAACCTTATGTCTCGTATTAACTGCATTAATTAAACTTATGTCTCATATTAACCTTACTAATTAACTTTATGTCTCATATTACTTTACTAATTAATCTTATGTCTCATTTTTTTTTTCGCTCAATATTTTGCTATAAAAAGTTTTATTCGACCAATTACTTTTTTTTACAAACTATTAAATTAATTCATTTTAAACAAAAATAAATGAAAATTTGAAAATTGAAATGCAAAATTTTATGCAAATATCAGTGAAAGAAATATTGCTTTTGTTTAAAATAATAAATGAAATTAATAAAATTTGCCAAGAAAATATGAAATAAATGAAATTAAAAAATTATTAATATTGCTATCAAAGAATGATATATGATAAGCCATTTACATATAATATAATGTTATAACAATACTTTTATATAATTATACTAAAAACTTTTTGGCTAATATCAAATATTTTTAGCTGCATTTGCTTCTAATTAGCTAAATTAATCGTTTACTTGCTTAATTAATTAATCAATTAAACAAAATTCATTTACATTTGCAATAAAATAGCATATAGCAATAATAAAAAAATGTATTATATTTCCTAATTAATCGTATGTTTTTTTTAAAACAGAAAAAAAAATCTTATTGAATGATTAATGATTATTTTAAAGCAACCAAAAAATGCTATTAAAAAAAATAATTGAAATTTTCATTGATTGTTAAAGTAAAACATTTTTTTTTAATGTCATTTTACATTAAAGGTGACTAAGCAGTGCAAATAAAATTGTCAACTTCCGTGACATTAAAATACTTGGAACAAAATTTATTTCAACATTTTCAAACATAATTAAAGTCATTTACCATTTTAGAGAAGCAAATTTTTTTATAAATTTCTTCATCATCTATTCAAATTAAATCAAAATCTTCTTTACAATTCATGTAACACTTATCATTGATGATTAGTTTATAATTGTACAGTATGATTAGCTTGTACAGTACGACAACATATTGCTGTATAATTTGTATGTTATACGATAAAATTACACAATATTTCGTTATCTTTTAATTCTTCATTAGTTAAAATCATAATTATTTGCAGCATTTCGGAAAATAAATTATGTAAATAAAAAAAAAAAAAAGAAAAGTTGATCGATATATTGATGATTAGTAATGAAGCAATTAACAGGTAAGAAAAGGTAAATGATAAGGTAATGATTATTATTATTTTTTATTTCTTTGCATCGTTAAATTTATTCTTTTAGCTTAACGAAATTTAATCCGTTCATAATATGTATTTAATTACGTTTTATAAATTAGAATATGTGTTTTTTTTTTTTCCAATATCAACAAATTTCAGTTTCATTTTTGAAATTTTTTAGAAAATTTTACCTTTTTATTATTTCTTTTTAAAATTTGCTGCAATTTGCTCTCTTTGATACCTTCAATTAAATTCGTCAACTGGGTCAAATTTGAGCATACTTTCTAGTAGTAAAAAGTTTTCAGTTTATTTTTTTTTGACGATTTTTATGATTTTAAATTTGCACTTAACATTTAATAAATTGAATTTTATTTTCTTTTTCATTTTAAACTTAATATCAATCGTTTCCGTAATATTTCATGGAAGTCGAATGAGTGATTTTCTTGGCAGAATGAAGAATGATAATGGAAAAACGAAAAAACCGGATGACAAGAATATTGGAATATCAAATATTAAAATGCAATAAATAGCAAATTTAGAAAGCAAAAAGAGTTAATTAATGAGCATACTTTCATTGTTGACATAGTTTAATTAAAGAAATAAAATTGAAATTTAAACAATAATTTAAGGAATGAATTAATTAAATACTTTTTATTGCTTGATATAAAATCAGATAAAGTGTAATAGACATACTGTTTATGACAATTATTTTTATTAAATAGTTTATTAAAAGAAATTGAATTCATCGATAGTATCATTGTTTTTGGCTTTAATGTTTTTTTTTTATCTCACCCTAAACAACATTTTATAATTAGCATATTATCATTTAATCATTTTTGTAATCAATATAGAAAATTATTTCTGATTAATTGCTGTTACAATCATTAAAACATTATTATGATAAATAAAATTCTTTCTTCCATTTCGTTTTTATCACTAATTGCAATGAAATGACAGGTCAACGTTTTATTTTAATTTGATATCAAAAAATTTGAATTGAAAATTTCGAAAATATTAATGATTCAAATATTAACGGTAAAGTTTTTTTTTTTGGTAACCATCGAAAAACTTCGATTAATCGTCAATATCACTGAAAAATTAATTTATTTGTGTTAATGAAAGCTTAAAAGATAATGATTAAGCATTATCTTGAATAAGAAATTATTTTGGATGAGAGATTTAAATGAAATGCTTAATTAATTGGTACAATTAAAATTATTACTTTTATTTTTTCGAAATTTGGAACTCATAGTGCATTTTACAAATTAAATTTACAAATAACAATAGAAATGAAACAATTATGAAATTTGAAAATACAGTAACCGTAAGATTGACAAGCAGTTAATGTTATTGTATGGCCAAAACCATGAATCCATTACTATATTGCTAAAACCATACACTATTACTACATAGACAAAGCTACAAACTATTACTGTATCACACACGTTATGCACTATTAGTATATGGCCTAAACCATCAACTATTATTATATGGCCAAAGCCATGAATCCATTACTATATGGCCAAAAAAAAAAAAAAACAAAAGGAAGGAAGATCATGAAAAATGTAAAATAAATGAAATCAGTCGTTAATTATATAACTCAGTGAATAAAATAAAGCTGCTTAAAAAAAATGGTACAAAAAAAAAAAAGTGTAATAGGGGAGAGAGAGAGAGAGAGAGAGAGAGAGGAGGAGGAGAGAGAGAAGAAA